TGCTCGCGTGGTCGCCGTCTAGAGATCATCCTGGATACTGAAGGTTCGGAGCCTCAACTGTTACTGTAGACTCTGTCAGCTTGTGCATTAGGTGTCGAATTTGAGCAGTGCGCAGGTTCTGCGCGCATCCTGGACGCGGAGACCTTTGTGGCAGGGATGCTGCAGGGGCGACGACCTGGCGGCAGTCCCGCTGCAGGCGAGGATCCCCCCTGCTTGGCAGTGCTATACAAGGCTAGTTTCCAGCCTTGCAGAGGCCAGGAGTTCAATCGCTGGATGCCAGCGTGGAAGGTGGACGCAGGGCGGCACTCGTGCAGGGCGGCGTGCTCAGAGAGCTGCTGAGTGGCGCGAGGCCAGCTTGACATCTGAAAGACTTATTCGTAGCATTAGCTCGATTCCAAGAGGACCTTATTAAAGCTGTCATATTGAATCCTCAGAAACAACAGTTAATATCACGATACAGAAACACAAATGCAGGGGCGAGGGGTGTGGCAGCCTCGCTACGTGCGCACTCGCCGTGAAGCTTCGTCTAGCACTACCAGCACAAGCACGACCAGCACAAACACGACCAGCACAAGCTCAACCAGCACCAGCACAACAAGCTCGAGCTCAACGTCCGGTACCACTCCTGCGGCAGATCCCAGCCGCTTTACGGATTGGGTTCGCGTGCGCTCCAGCAGCTCGTTCGGAAAGGGTGGCTTTCATACGGCGGGTATAATGATAGTTGTTGCATAACTGACGGAAGTCACCATTCTGTACCTATTGGTTATAAAAAGTTATTACGAATCTTATATGGTTTCCTTTACTTGTTGAGACTGGTTGTAGTCTTCATGATCTCCACACCAGGAAGCGTAGATGGATACTACCTCTACAACCGCCGCACTGGGGAATCCGTTTGGCCTCCTAATACGAAGTTGATACTTGTGGACAGCATCTCAGCATCTTGGCTAAGCAATTCCGAAAGATTCTGGTAGTCACAGGAGAAAACAGTTGCAATCAGAACAGCGATATCACAAAAGCAAGGTATGCGATCGTGAAAGCCACCTTGGGCGCAAATCTGCAGCACGGCATGCAGTACCTGACGCTCGACCCTATTCACTGATCGAGGGTTTAGGGTTTAGGGTTTAGATATTGAGCTAAAACGAACGCTGAAAGTGTTCATCCCGTGCTGTCAACGTGGGTTAATATAAGGGCCTTAATGAGAAAAGAGTTTTGGGGCTAATCACAACATATTTATAATAATGTACATTAAAATAATCTTGGTAATTATTTAAGGATTCATGTTGTGTTGGAGCTGCATCGGCAAGAAGTCACTGCAGCTCTTGCGCGAGCTCCTGAGCAAGCGTGGGCTGGTTCGGGTAGCACGCACCGTTTTCCCTTTTGCATTTCCTGCCGACAAGTATCGTGCAGGCCAGCTCTTGTGAGAGCTCCCGAGCGAGTTTGGGCTAGTTTGGGTAGCTCGTTCCGTTTTCCCTTTTGCAGTCCTTTGCAATGGCACTCATTGCGAGTCACAGCCACAACAGGCTTGTGCTCAAACGACGAGGCAAGGATGCCGTGTTTACCTCCAGCTGTGCCGAGCCTGAGCCGTGATTTGGGGTTTAAGGGTTTACAGACACTCAACGCACAGTCTAATTTGATGGAGAAGCAAGAACCAGCCAGGCATGAGCTCGTGCATCAGTTCGCGAAACAGATCCACACACGGCTCGAAAGGAGAAGGCCTCTCAGGCACTACTAAGTTGTCAGGTCCAACCTGGAACAGGCCTCTCAAACACTCAGGCAATAAATTGCCAAATCCAACCTGCAAAAGGCCTCTCAGCTTCAGGCACTAAGTTAGTTGTCATAATCCAATCCGAGCCTCTTTTTAAGGGCTTGGTTTGGGACTTCTGCTACTCGGGTTGTGGTTGTAAGGTTGAAGGTTTGGGAAGTCAGCTGCTTTGATTTTCGGGTTGGGGTTGTAAGGTTCAGACCCCAAGAGCTCAACCCCAAATCCAACACCTCAACCGCCAAACCCCGTAGTCGTTGATGTCGTCGTCGTCGTCGTCTTCGTAATCGTAGTCGTAGTAGTAGTTGTCATAATAATGATGATGATGATAATAGGCTGTGGTGTAGATTAGGGGCGGCCCCCGCCCAAAAATAGTTCAAAACTAGGTTTAAGATTAAACACAAAGCCAAAACATAGCACGAATTTGGGGTTTGGGAGGCACCCACCAAACTCAGAGCCGAGTCAGTTTGGACCCGGGAGCCACCCATCAATTGGAGTCACATCATCTGTGCTTCAGACTGAACTTTTATCACTCAGCTATTAAGGATGAAAGGGTCTAAATTGCTGCATCCACACCTATAATCGCTCGATTTGGTTGGGCTGGATGTGTGCCCTAGGCATCGAAACTGTCAGATACCTTAAAGTTGACTGCACGTTGAGCCTCGTATACTATGCCATGCATAAACTGCAGGCAGTTTGCATGACCACTGCCAGTACCACTACCACACCTCTATACTGTCTATACTGATACGGACACCACTGCACTTGTCGGAATGGGAAAATCAAAATGCAGCCTTTTTTGGCTGGCTGGGCTGGCTGGGCTGGCTGGGCGTGGACCCACTGCCAAAAATCCGCTGTGGCATTCCGCGACCATGCCCATCACCGGGACCACAACCACCACGATCACCACACGCCTCTGTCTACGTTGTGTGAAGAACAATACGTTGTGGGAGGAACACATGTCACATACCTCATACCGCATGCATACCTGCGTACCGTACTGCATACCATATGTGGTCATGGCCCATGGCTATGGCCGTTGGCCAAAGCTTATCGATATAGTGAACAAAGTGGGGCTGCCATGCATGGTAAGCCAGCTGTGTTGTACACAGGAGTATCAACAGTGCAATCATGTCTGTTCATTCATGTCAGTTCCAAACGCACATGTCCAAGGCTGTGTCATGGGTTCGCAACAGAGACAGTGTCTTTGTTAGCTGTTAAAAAGTCAGTTATGTCAAGTCCTGACAATTGGCCGAGAGGAAGTCTGCCACCAGCGAAGTGATGCCAAGAGACTGATTTGGGAAAGCAAGAGGCCCTGAAAATTCGCGAGCGCTACCGCGCAGCCTCCTTCGGCCCCACGCGGTCCACCAGGACTCCCAAACATGAGCAGAAGCAAAAGCACCAGCGGAACAGAACACAAGCACAAAATTCGGAGCCACGCCAATAGTCAATAGTTTTAGCACCAGCAAAGCCGATCACGTTCGCACAAATCTGATGCGATGCCTCCGCGCTCTTTTTGAAAACTGGATCACACGAGCACCATAAAAAGCACAAACTCCCACACATGAGCAGAACTTTTAGCACCAGAAACAGCACTAGAAAAAGCACAAACTCCCAAACATGACCACCAGAAAATGCAGAAACTCCCAAACATGAGCACAAAAACACAAGAAAAAACACAAACTCAACCGGAGAAACTATGTCATAGGAATCACGAGCCAAAAAGCACAAGATTTGTGCTTTTGGCATAAGTTCGAGCACCAGGATTCCCAAACATGAGCAGAACTTTTAGCACCAGAAAAAACACCAGAAAAGCACAACACGTTTGTGTCGTTTCTGTCGCCCGGAACCGCCTCCCAGTTCTAAACATGAACAGCCAGAGAAGAGCCAGGACAGGCCCGAACCAGGACCCCAGACCAGGTCCGGCCGGCCAGGGCCCCCGGTACTAGAAAGGAAAGAGCCGGTCCGGCCGGCCGGGACCCTTGCCCAGTACTAAACATGAAAGAGCCGCACCAGGCGGGATTTGGCCGCGTGGCAACAGCCCAGCCGGCCAGGCTAGGGTTTAAATTTTCGCTATCTGTTTTTGTCATGTATTTGCCCACGCACCTTCTGCGGGCTTCTCATCCTGGTCGGGGACCGGAGGCCAGAAGCAGACGGGGCTAGCCCAGAGGCTTGTTTGGAATTTTTCCTTGGCAGTGCGCTGCGATGGTGGACTGTCGTAAGGAGCATCAAGATTTAAGTTCCCAGTTCCAAGTCGAAGTTTTAAGATGATTCGGTGACCATATTACTATAAGTTATTGTATTGTGTTATATTGTTTTGAGAAATACTGTATAGTGTATATTATATAAAATGCGCTACAATAATACGTAGTAATATATTGCAATATGCAATATAAAGCAACATCAAACTACTATAGCTATAAAGTTGTAAGCTGTAAGTCAAAAGCTGAATGATTAAATTACAAGTTCTCGCGGAGAACATCTGGCTTCTTAAGCTTCAGTGACGCCCAAATTCAAGCATGCGATTTGACCTCCCAGTTTCATCCCGCCCTCCGCCCTAAACCCTACCCCCGGACCCTAAACCGCTTAAACCCGAAACATAAACCCGAAACCCTACACCCTGCACCCAAAATATGGAGCAAACGATGTTGGTCCCGAGTCCGCAGGTCTCCAGGTCAAGGGGAAGACTGTGTTCACATACTAGGATTCAGAACGGGTTTAGGTGAGGCCAGGCTATTCGGACACCAGCATTCAAGGAGAGGATCCATTCATAAATCCGAAACACCAGGTTTGTGGTAAAACCAACTATGATCACACTCAAACCATAATTTCTGATTTTTCCTGGTGTTTTTTCTTGTGCTCCTGTTTCTGTCCTCTATTACAGGAGCAGGGCAGCTTCGAATGTGTAGACCAGTTTTAATAATATTAAAACGAACAGCAACACACTATACGTAAAGGTTCCTGCCACATATATATACATATATACATATATACAGTACATAAACATTTTGTATATATACATATTCCGTTTTTCTATGCTATGCCCTGGAGCTCTATTCTAGTTGCTAAGGCCTCTAGTCTAGAAAATGGAGAGGTTCGTGCACTTGGGGTGCTTTGCAACAGCCGCGGCAGCCCTCAAAGCCTCCTGCCCCAAAACCACAAGCCCGAAGTTGAAAATCTTAAATCCTCAGGCCCCTTACCCTGTGACTCGGGACCCCATGACCCTAAACCCTAAAATGAGGTCGTGGATGTGTACGGAAAGTTTCTGGACACCTGGATGCGTCATTGCCTCATGTGCAGAGATCGAGCGTGGAGTTGGAAAGTTTCGGCATCGGGCTTGCAATCCATGCATCCGGGTTCCAGATTCTACTTACACTAAACTCCACAACCATACCGCTCTGGCGCGAAGGGCTTCTAGGATTTTTGGGATTCAGGGGCTTGTTAGTTCAGACTCGATTTCAAAAACTGCCAAAACAAGATCCAATAGAAGCTCCAACATTGAGTGTCGAAGTGGCGTCGAGTAGCAGGAACAGGAGCCCATCTCCGATTGCACCATTGTACGGCCATCGCCAACTTCCCAAACCCCGCGGTACCATTCTGAATCGTTTTTTTGGGAGTTTGTTCCTAAAAGGGTTCATGCCGTTATGAACCAGCAAATTATGCTGATTGCACACCGGTTTCTTCAGCAAAGCCGAATTTCAGAGAACGGACAGGCCGTGCCAGAGCCAAACATATATTTCTTGGTGAAGTGATGGCAGAGCATCCACCAGACTACAGTACAGACCCTAAATCTTAAGCTTATTTTGCCTTGAAAAACATGTAGTCGTAGCCCCAAACCCAACAGCAACCCTAAGGCAAAGTTCCTTATTGTAGCTACAGTATATTGGGCCCGAAAACCCTACTCTAATTATTAAGGTTTCCAACGTATCCCTTATCAAAGCCTCTATAGCAGCTTTTCGGAGCACCTGAACACCAAGGCTCTGGAACGGGGGAGCAGTCGACGGAGATCACCTCCGTAGAGGTGGGGCTGTCATGGTTATTATATTAGAGCACAGTAGACTATAGTATATTATAGTATAGTATTGTATAGTATAGCATAGCAGACTATAGCATATGATAGTATGTTATAGTATATAGTAGTATAGTTGAATTTGTTTCAAGATTATGAGAAGCATGTTGACAACTTCGAAACCCTGAATGCATAAGCCTGGCTGAAGTCCTGTGCACCGCACGCAGGCCGAAAGCTTTCGATAGAAGTCTTGAAAGAGAGAGACAGAGAGAGAGAGAGAGAGAGAGAGAGAGAGAGAGAGAGAGAGAGAGAGAGAGAGAGAGAGAGAGAGAGAGAGAGCGAGAGAGAGCGAGAGAGAGAGAGAGAAAAGATAGAGAGAGAGAGAGACAGTGTGTGTGTGTGTGCGCTTAGGGTCTAGAGTGGGGATTTAATTCCGGCTTGAGGGCTTTAAGGCAACCTCATGCCCGAGACCCACAGTCGTCAAACATCACGGGTTTAGTGATAAAAGTTTAGGGCTCATGTTCATCGTCCGGTGTTGTCTTAGTAAGGCTATTTCTACCCTTTGCCATAAATCCGAAAACATGTCGGATTACCGCTCAAGGGTCTAAACGGAGCCGGTGGTTATGTAACATCCTGCATGTGTCTTCTGTTACGTACTTGTGCAGTTAGTTACGCTTGTCAAGCTTGGATGTATGCGTCTGTATACAATAAGTGCCCACTCATATCCTCTGATCTTATGCGTACGTCAGGTGGAGGAGGCCGTAGAAATTGCCCGAGCCTGAGCAAATGCTGCCGCGACGTTTAAGTTTGAACTTCTCGTGGTGTACAGTAACCAGGGAGTCTGAGAACTGCAAAGACAGATTTCCGAGTGGATTTGCCGGTTACGGCTCATGGTTTCAGCTGGTGGCATGTTGGGTTTCGCCCCGCCTTCCACGCACTACTTTACGATCTTGGGGTGAAGGGTTCAAGATTGTTTCAATGATGTAATTAGGCCGCGGCCCAGGATATGTTTCATAGGAGGATGACCAACCATTGTTATTGGAGGAGCTAAGAGCCAGGAATGATGATAGTCCCTAGTACACAAGGAGCTAAAGAGCCAAGGGAGCCCCAAAAACAGAGGTTAGATGAACTTTACGTAATTAGGCCCATTATACTGTTATAAGGAACCCCCAAAAAATGTATAGGTAATTATTGAGGCCGCGGCCCAAGATATGTTTCATAGGAGGATGAGTTTGTCAGTGCTCGAGTTTCGGGTCAACAGGGATCAGATTGCTGGGCCTCGGTCATAGGAGGCCAAAAGGGGATTTAGCCTATGGTGGGTTTAGTAGGGATTAGGGTTCCCATAATGGAGTTCATATTAAGGAATCCCCAGCCCAAGAATCTTAAACCTCCCTTTTGGCCTCCCATCATTCGCATCAGGAGGCTGGCAGTTGAGTTCAGAAGCTCAAGAAACTGATGGGTGGTTGTCAGAATTATGGTCCCTCTTTGGGTCCTGATTATAATACGGCACCTAGAATTTAGGGTACCCACAAAGGGGCCGTAGTTTTGACAACCCTGATCCGACGCGGTATCCGAACTTCTTGCACCCTCCTTCTTGTTCAGTTTCAGCGACATTTAGAGTCTAAGGGGTCTTGAGGGGGTTCAATGGGTTTAGGGTTTAGGATTCGGAGGTCAAACACATCACGGAATACCACGAGAAGCGGTTGGAGTCGGAGAGGGACGCGGACCAGTGCAGGCGCAGTGAGGGTCAGTGCCTCCCTCCTCAATAGTAGCAGCCCCGTTCAAAACTGAAAATGAGCCCCACTCCAAAAGCTGTCGTACCATCTTTTCAAACCTTCGATGCAGAAGCGCCCTAAATTCGTTTGCCATGCAATCGCCAAACTCCCCAAAGATGCCAAGCCCCTCAGCCCCGTCTGAGGCTTTGGGGTTCAAGAAATCCTGCGTAGGACCCGCCAGATGCTCAACAAGAGCTGTGATAACGTAGAAGCCTGCATAGTAATGGTCACTGTTATTGTAAGAGTCCTTATGAGATGTAATTGAAGCAAAACATGCGTACCCCAAAACCCTATATTCCGTTGATTTAAGCTCTCCATTTTACCCAAACTCCACCTTCTAAGCCCCGAGCCCCCCAAGCTTAAGATCTCAAACTACCAAAACTCCTTAGCCCAAAACCCCAAGCCCTGCACTCGGGCTCTCCTAAGACATCTCCCCTAATTAGCCTGAGACCTAAAAGCTCGAAGCACAAGATTCGAATCGCCCCACCTAAACCCTAAACCACTTAGCCATTAAGCCAGCAAGAGCTCCAACTGCTCAGGCCAAAAATTCAAGCCTTCCCCAAACTCTCGACCCTAGGTTCTACCCCTTTGAACCCTCAAACCAAAGCGCCTTAGACCCTCAACCCTTACAGAATCTGTGTGCAGACCTGTTGGATGCTCCGTAGAACCCTTGAGAGAAACCTTTTAAGGCTTGCAGATCCCTTATTGTAGAAGCCTTCTAGAGCTTCTAGAAGCCTTCGACGCCCTAAACCCCAAACCCTAAACCCTGAACCATCAACCCTTAAAGCCCGAAGTTACCCGACACCGCAAACCTTACAGCCGCAAGCCCGAAGCCATAGCCTTCAACCCTAAGCCCTAAACCCCAAACCCTTCAAACCCCCAGCCTCTAAACCCTAAATCCCAAACCCTAAACCCCAAACCCCAGACCCCTAAACCCTAAACCCCTAAACCCCTCAACCCCTAAACCCTAAACCCCAAAACCCACCCTTAAACCGTAAACCCCATAAGCCTTACAATCCTAAGCCAGGCTCGGACTCGCCGAGGGTCGACAAGCCTTGGGGCTGCTCCTAGCTTACACCGGCGCTGGCCTCGGTTTCCGTGTCACTTGCCTTGGGTCTTTATAAAGGGGTCGATAAGGGTTACTATAAGGGATCTATAAGGGTACTAGAATATAGGGGCCTTAAGAATCCTATAGCTTACCTTTGGTTAGTAGGGAATGGAGGAATGGGGTAGAATTATAAGTACTATTACTACCATTCTTCCATTCCCTACTAGCCAAAGGTAAGTTCAGGGTCTTGCGGATTTAGGGTGTAGAGGTTTCTTTTTTAGGATTCCGGGTTTAGGGTTTCCGTTGCAGGGTCTTGCAGGTTTAGAGTTTAGAGGTTTATGTTTCAGGGAATTCGAGGGTAGAGTTTCGTAATGCCGTTTCAGGGTCTTAAGGGTTTAGGGGTTAGGTTTAGATGTTCTGTTTCGGGGAAGTTTCGGGATTAGGATTGAGGGCCGTTTCTGGGTGAATACTCTTCGGATCTGGGGTTAGGGTTTCGGGATATGTTAGAAGGGGCCCCCACCCTCAGTATAATGGACCCCCAAAACCCTGCTCTAATTATTGAGGCCTCTATAATATACTACCCTTATAGATTCCTGATAGTATCACAGACTCCTTTTAAAGGAACCCTATTCTAATTAGTAAGGCCCCTGTTTGCAGTCTTCACAGTCCTGGTTGTTCTTGATGCTGCTCGAGAGTTCGGGTCGAGGTTCAACGGCTAGTCGGCTAGTCGCAGAAAATCATACCTGGACCTCCCAAAACCTACTTTTTTGTAGGGTCCCTATATTGCCATATTAGGGTTTATAATAAGAACCTAAAAAAAAGTAGGGTTTGGTAGTTGAAGGTAGGGGCATCACATCCGGATGAGGTAGATGTAGGGTCTAGGTGGCCAGTACTAGCGGTATACCCTTCTTACTCTTAACTCACACTGTTCACTATTTGCCCAAAATCCTGAATTCTTGCGGTCCCTAATTGTGCCCTGAACCCTGATAAACCCTATGCCTTTCTCAAATACCATCGCAAGCCAGTTGCACACTTGCCGCAAATGCGTGTCAGGTTGTGCGACGAAAACAATGCACGTGAAACCTTGATGTGAGAACTCGCAATGGCATCTGATAGATGCCGGACACTGGCAGCTGTGGATGGAAGTGATGGCGTCGATGTGATGTTGCGCCGTCCGGCGCGACGACGAATGTGCAGTTGCACAAATGTCCAGAAGCTAGCTTTGACCCAGTTCAGGTGTGGCAGCTTAGGATACCTTATTTGGGGTCCCCACAACAAGGGTCTTACCTTTCAATTATAGGGTACCATATTGGGGTACGCTATTTTCGGAAACTCCCGTTTTGAAGCCTGCAGCGTTTTATCGCAGCGTTGAGTGCTGCGCATTGTGGCAATGTGAGGGTGTTCACGATTGCATTTCGATGTTTTAAGCTAGGTTGGGCTTCGCGCAGAGGTTGAGCAGACCTTCTCGAAGAAGTCTCTGAGGAAAATGTCCATGCAGCCAAATACAAACAAGGGTGTTTGGTAAGGTATGATATGTCAGTTAATTACGCTGCTGCGGTAGACAGTGGGTGTGGGTTGCGATCACTCGTTGTCGCTGTTGCCGCGACTTAAGTAACATTAAGGTCATATACGTACCGTTTAAGCCGGTAGCAAAGGAGGACCTACGTGGATATGTCAGCAACAAGCTTACAAGGCTTACAAACCACAAGGAGCAGGATGCAGGTATCATGTATTAGCTCTTGGCAGGCTTTTGCTGAAGAGTTATTACAAGTGCTTACAAGGACTTGAGAAGGACGTTATAGGGTTTAGCAGTTTTTAGGTTGAAAGTAGTGGCCTCAATAATGCAATCAGGGTGTTGGGGGTGCCCATATTATGGTGTAAGTATGTAAAGCTAAGCAGGAGACATCATCCATCATCCCACGAGACCCCATGAGCTGAGGTGATATGAGTACCGTCGCGCCGGCGTTCTTTCTACTGCTCGGCAGGGTTTCGAACCCCAGTAGTGCCTGTTTCTGTACAACTATCCCCCTGATCCTTTAAGTATTCCTTGACCACATGATGTCAACAGCCATTTTAGGGGTCGGCAGTTGCGGGTTCAAGGGTTTGTTGCTTGGGTGTAACCTTAGCATCAAGATGAGGTCAAAATAGGTCAAATGCTACTTCTCACCTATTCCCTTAAGTCTACTGTACCCCGAAACGGGCTTTTCATATGTAATCCATGCACTAGTTGGTTTTGCGTTTAGGGTTCAGGACTTGGGGGTTCATCACCGCTTATCATCCGCAAAGGCTTCAGAATGGACGTTTCCGTGCGGAGTTTACTGAAGGGTTCAGGGTATGGAGTTGAAGGTTTAGGGCTTGACGTTTGAGTGCCTGAGGAGGAGAGCTGAGACTTGAAAATGTTGAGATTGAGGGCTTGATAATTCAGGATTCGAGGATCTATGCTCCGGGACGGATGAGGGTCACATGCTACTGCTACATGTAAGTATAGCTGGCTTCAGTTGAAAATGCGGTTCTGCAGTAGTAGTAGTAGTAGTAGTACTACTACTACTACTACTACTACTACTACTACTACTACTACTACTACTACTAGTACTACTACTACTACTACTACTACTACTACTACTACTACTACTACTACTACTACTACTACTACTACTACTACTACTACTAGTATCATAATGGGTATATTCCCGGTTCGTCGGGTATTGCGCTCTCTCGATCGGCAGCCAGGGCAGAGACTACCTCAACGCCGCCGTGGAAACGTACCAGCTCCTTCCTCGACTCGGGGCTTAGATGTTTAGAGGTTTCGGGTTAATGTAGGGTTTCGGGTTTAGGGCTTCAGTAATGAGGGTCTTGGGGCTTGGACTTTAGAGGTTTCGAGTGATGGGGTGTTTGGGTTTAGGCCTTTAGGGTCTTGCTGGGTTTAGGGTCTTAGGATTTAGGGTTTAGGGTGTTAGGATTTAGGGTTTAGAGGTTTCGGGTTATGGGGTGTTTAGGTTTGGGCCTTTAGGGTCTTGCTGTTGTGTTTGGGGTTGGGCAATGGAGATTAAGATATACGCCCCATAGTTGGGGTTACGGAAGAATGTGAAGAAAGTGACCGGTAGGGTTATGCTTAGGAAAGGGTAGATACGGCGAGGTTTAACCCCCAGCCCTTGAGCCTAAACACTGGTACTAAACACTTTGCTCCAATTCTTTGATTTTCAACGGTTTGTTTCTTTCTGCTGCGGGATATGGCTCGTGCATCCCCTTCTAGTCTCTAGATGCAGTTCTGCCATGTTGGACCACAGAGCCATATTGTAGCCAGCAATGCCCATAGGTTCTTTGGCAGACTGTCTAGCTGACTAGCTTCCTTTGGTTTGGTTTAGGGTTCGGGATCGAGTGTTCAGGTCTTTTTGGAGGATAGGGCTGGGATTTCATGAGATGGGAAAAAGCAGCTGCCCAAAGTTCGTTAAAATGTCTCGCAAGGGAGACTGCAATTCTTACACCGTTATGCACCGCCGAGAAACCTGCACCCTGAAATCATGAAGTAGATAGAGGAGGCTTGACATCTGGGGTTTAAGGCTTTGGGGAGTTGTGATTAAGTGTTAGCGGTTTAGGTTGTGGTAAATGGCACAAATCCAAAGTTCTGCAGCGTGCGAGCATCGTTAACCCTAGCCTGTTAGCTCAAACTCCAAAGCCTTGTCATAGGTGCTGAGCTCATCAGACGAGGCTCTTAAGCTATTAATCATTCGGTCTTGAACATCTAGGATCTAGGGATAAATAACACTCACTCTTGTGGATTCAGGCTTTGAGGTTTGGGACTTAGGGTTACGGAGTCTGAAGAGCAATAGTTGAGGAATAGGGTTGTAGAGATCAGGAGCTAGGCTATAGTTTAGTTGTAGGGTTCGAGGTTTAGGAGCCAGGGTGTATTAATTACGGTTTTCTATAGGGCTCATAGAAGAAGTGGTATGACAGGGTGTGGGAGTTTACGGCGTTTGAGATTTAGGCCTAGCTTAGCAGTAAGTGTTCATGGTTTGGGAGCTTGGGAAGAGCGGGGGCTTAGGACGTAGGCTTACAGTAGAAGCCTAAAAGTTGGAAACCCAAGAGCCTCAATCCTTAAGAGTCATGTATAAGGAATCTCAGCACTAATTGTCCTTAGTCCGGTTTCCAACTTTTTGGGCTTTACTATATGGTTTAGAGGCGGGGAGCTGGAACTTGGGCCTACTTCTTGGAACTTAATGTAGGAACCTGATTAAGAACCCCCGGGCCTGTAACCCCAAAGTACTAGGATTCATATGGGGAACCCTACTAAAGGGAGGTTCCTGCATTAGGGTTTGGGGATTCGGAGCTTCGGGTTTAGGGTTTAGGTTTTTGGTGCTACTGCAGGTCCGTCCTCGGCGAAGAGCACGCCAAAAGCAAGCAATGCTGGGCCCTCAAGATGTCCTAAGCCCTTGAACCTGAAAATCATCCCCGTAACCAAGCCCTTGCAGCCTGAACCCCCAAAACAGAATCAGCAAGCACAGAGCTACAAGCCCTCGATAAAGCCCTAAACCAAAACCCGAACTGTAAACTCCTAACCCTGTCTCCACTTCTGTGCCCCTAGCCGGGTTCGGGGTTGTCGGGCTTTCGGGCGAGGGAGGTCCAGAATGTCTCGAAAATCACAAGCCCTAGTCCGACAGACCCATTATAGAGTTTTCTTAAAGGACTTTAATAGTCTGACAGACCTATTGTAGGTTTTTTCGTAAGAGCCTCAATCATTAGAGCAGTGACCCTGAGCTGATCGGGTTTTGCGTTGGGGAGTTTTGGGCACTTGGTCCTGGAGCTTCCGGAGGCCCAAAGTTTCGAGGGGGCTTTCCTTACCCTTGGTTAGTAGGGAATGGTAGATTGTTATAAAAATTCCTCCATTCCCTACTAACCAAAGGTAAGTTTCGGTCGTACGGGGGCAAGGGCTTTGGGTTTCGGGTTCTGGGGTGGGGCTGCAGGTTTAGTGGAGGAAGCTTGATCAGGGGTTAGGGGTCGCAGCGCAGTTGACAGCCGTGCGCAAGGGGATATGGAGCCTCCGTGGCTGTGAGTCAGTGGGTCCGGCAGTGTAGCTTCTGAGTGAAACCCAACTCCCTGCCGATCACCTACTAAACCCAAAACCCTAAACCCCAAACCCCTGAACCCAAAACCCCTGAACCCTAAACCTTGCAATTCTAAACCCTATGCCCTATACCCCCAATCCAGCATACTCGAACGACAGCTCCAAAGGCTCTCCCAACTACCAGGCCGTCGTTTACAGGAATCTCCCATCCTGCATATTTCGAACTACTGTTCTTTAGGGTTTAGGGGATATAGGGTTCAGGGTCATTAAGAACAGCCCCAATCCTGAAGGACTAGAATTACGATTCCCCTAGGATTTATTTTCAATGATATTTAGGGTTCAGAGTCGTTTTCAGAAGCCCTCATCCTGAACGAATCTACGATTCCTCAGGATTTAGTGAGGTTCGTGAGCTTGAGCCCGCACCCTTGACGATTCCGATGGCGGCGAACCGCACTTCTACTATTGCCGATCTCAAAGACTTCATCGGCAAGAACGCCGGGGCTCGATATCGCAGGGGCGAAGACGAAGACAGAGGAGGCCTTGGCCGACCTTGCTGTGAGAGGATGGCAAAAGAGAGTTTGAGTCGGATGACGATGCCAACCAATCCTGGATGATTTGACATACGACTCTTAGGGGTCCCCTATGGCGAAATATGCACCGAAACTCTATTCTGGCCATTAAGGCCTGAGCCCTTGTAGTAGTCCGACAAGTAATCCTCAAAGGCAGGGGCCCCAATGCACTTGTTCAGGCCCCCGTCAATCAACACTAAACCTTGTCCTGCAGGCCAGAAGCACCTGGAGACGCTGGAAAAGCGCAGCGCTCTCCTTTAGCCGAGGCCCTCCACCAGCCTCAAGAGTTTTAGGGGGGGCTTAAAAAATTAAAACACATTAAGCCTTCAAGATGTTCTTTGGATTTTGGGCTTGAGGTTTAAAATTTCAGGGTATGCAGGGCTTTTGCACGTTCTTTGTGTCAGCGCGGTACAGGTGCTTCATTGTAAACGGCCTCGTTTACATTACATCCTGCTTTTCAAAAAAGGGGTATTGGTTTGGGATCGAAAGTTTCGGGTTTAGGGTTTAGGGGGGTTTGGGGCCTACGGGTCTTGGTGTTTAGCTTGAGTTGTGAAGTTGAGGGTTCAGGAGGCTCTGGGACGTCAGGGCCGTCTTTGAGGGGGTTTGATGCTTTCCACTGATTTCAGCAAGCCCTAGTGGTCTCAGAACCGTAAGACCCCATGCCCTCAACCCTAACCCCATCCATTCCAGCAAAACAAGCGCCCTGGCTTTGAGTGAGCCTTCTGATAGGCACGGTTGTCGACACTTCCGTTGAGAGTTCCGTTGAAGGTTGTGGGTCTCCGTACCGTGAACCCTCAAAGTTGTCTGCTTGTTGTGATTATAGTCATGGTTATGCTTGTTATGCTGGTTTTATCTTAAGCAGTGATCATGAACACTGTAGCTATCATGAGCCTTATTCGTAGTGCGATTTTATCTTGGTTATGTTGACATCTATGAACATTATGAGTGATGAGTATGCGATGATAATGTTGTTGACTTGTGCTGCTAGTATCAAGTCGTTTTGCAACAACGAATCGCTTCGCTCTGCCACGCCGGGCCTCAGGCATTGATCCCGCCATCTTGCATGAGATGTGTCTCACCATGCGTTCTCCGTGCTGTAGATGTAGGGTTCAGAGTATACGCAGAGATAAGTTCGGGGTTCTCACTCCTGCAGAACATTTAGGATTGGAGAGCAGGGTGCAGGGATTTGAGCCTAAGGTTGAATGCATGGGAGGGTCTCATTAGTCTCATTCGTGCCACGCAATGTCGCGTCGTCACCCCAGGTAAGGTTTACATGAGGGCGTTGGTCTGTTTATACATGGCTCCTTCAAAGCATTCTTGAAGGCACACTGCAGCTTCCCTTTCAAGATACGAGAGACATGAAACCCTTGCTTCGCCTAGAAGCTCACACCCGAGCGGTCGTTTAGGGGTTTGCGGTGGAATCTGTGTAGCTGGTTCACCTTAACCTGCAGAACGAATTGCTAGAGTGTCCTAACGGTCCTAACGCTGTCGTGTTTTTAGGGTTTAGGGCTTTACTCAGTTTCACATGTGCATTCAGACAGCATGCCAGCAAACTCGCGGTTGCAGCTGATGCCCATCGGAGACAAAAGTGAGCAGGACACCAGGGTTTTGGGATGTTTCGGGCCATCGGGTCATAATTCAGTTCCAGCCCCGCCGCATGATTTTGCAGCCCTAAACCCTAATCCCCAAAACCTTAAACCCTGTTCAACACAACCTGGACCCTGAAGTTAAGCCTAAACCCTAACTTAACCCGACTAGCTTCCCTGAGCCCGGAGCCTCGGTTGGTCGAAAAGCTTGACGCGAACCTCTGTGTGGGTAGTTGTCAAAATTAGGGTCCCTTTTCGGGTCCTCATCATACGGCACATAATAATTAGGGTAGCCAAAAAAGGTGCCATAATTTTGACAACCACCCGTGTGTCTATGAGATGCCGGTAAACTCACTCAGAGCATGGATTCCAATGTCTTTCCCCAGGCAAGCCGACCAAACATTAGATCCGGAATAGCTAGAACCGAACCTATGTGGCTATTTGGGTTCAACACGAACTAAGTTAAGCTAAGGCTCAGAGTTTTGTAAGCCACGAGTAGGAAGACACAAACCTTGAATTCTCTGCCTTTCCGTGCGAAACTTGCGGCCATTTACATCCAGAGTAGGAACATGCAGTTGTGAGCCCATGGCACAATGATGGCTGTGGGCAGCAGCGGCCTCAGTCTGCAGAAGTGCCGCGGAACGATGGCAACCACAGTCATCGCAAGTATACACATTCGTACAGGTTGTCTCTCTTCTCCTCAGATTTTTGAACACCAAGATGTTCATTACACCGTCACCACCACCACCACCACCACCACCACCACCACCACCACCACCACCACCACCACCACCACCACCACCACCACCACCACCACCACCACCACCACCACCACCACCAGACCCACCACCACCACCACCACCACCACCACCACCACCAAGACCCACCACCACCACCACCACCACCAAGACCCACCACCACCACCACCACCATCATCACCACCGCCATCACCATCACAATCAGCACCAGCACCAGCACCAGCACCAGCACCAGCACCAGCTCCAGCACCAGCACCAGCACCAGCACCAGCACCAGCACCAGCACCAGCACCAGCACCACCACAACTACCACCACAGCCAGTTGCAGCAGCAGCAGCAGCACCACCACCACCACCACCACCACCACCACCACCACCACCACCACCACCACCACCACCACCACCACCACCACCACCACCACCACCACCACCACCACCACCACCACCGTCAAATGAGAAGAAGCTATAATTGAGGGTCTGGGTGGGGCCTTGTCACCCTGAGGCCGCGGCATGGGGCTTCCGCTGGGGCGGCACGGGGCTGCACTGAGGCAACGGGTTTCTTACAGGTACAGACGCAGACATCAGCCCCGAGACCCATTATACCGCACTCCACTCTAATCTTGTACTGATTCTACTCTACTCGAATATACTATACGATACTGTACTCGACGACACGACGATGCGATACAATACCATACCACACCATAATATACCATGCCATCCAATCGCTGTTCTATGATCCAGGTGTAGGGACTAGTGGATTAGTTTTGCAGACTTGGGTTTTCGGATTCGGGGGGCTGTAGGGTTTGGAGTTTAAGGATGTACCTCAGATACGGGTATAGGGATCAGGTGAGATAGCCACCGAAGCCGCCTGGACGGTGGCAGCGATGTGTTGCCATTTTCCGCCATGTAAATGGAAGGGGTGCGGGATAATTCCAAGCCGGTGATTTCTTCAACCCAAACCTGGTGCAGACTCGGAATCCTGAACTAAATGCCAAGCAAGCCTCCAATGCGTGAGTCCTGAGTGCAAACCCCTAGCCCCCAAACCCTCGCAAGTTTTGCCAATACCATTACTATGGCTATTGCTATTGCCATTACTATTGCCATTACTGCTACTGTTGCTGTTACTACTTTCCCAATACCAATACAGAATGCTACTATGGCTACATCATTATGGTTGTTGTCCTAATTGTTCAGTCCTTGAGCCTTCAAGTTCTACATCTGACGAGGCCGATGCGGTACGTCATCCTGGCCTATGCCCTGAGCATGCAGCTGGCTTCGGCGTCCCTTGAGGATTTGTTCTTGGGGATGCTTGGGGTGCGGGATGTAGGATTTAGTTTTGAGGACTTTGGGGTTTACGGTTCAGGATTGCGTGGGTTTAGGGCTTGGGGCTAAGCGTCTCCAGGATGTTACGGACTCAGTATTCGGGCTAGAGCGTTCTGTAAGGAACTTATCTTATATGTATTAGTTTTCTGTGTGGTATTTATATTGTTAGTACGTCTGGATTTAGGTTGGGGATTAGGACAGGGATGAAGAGTTTAGAGTTTGGGGTATATAGGGGTTTAGGGTCAGGGTCCATGTGTTTAATGACCCAGAGGCCAGCATGAGCTTGTGGTTCTCACGGCTTGAGTTGGGAGATTTTCCCGAGAATTCTGGCTTTGTTCCAGTGTGCATGAGCGGGAAGCATCATAGTCGGGCCGAGGGGGGAAAAGCGGGGTTCTGAGCTGACTGGGTTTAACAAGTCCGAGAAGGCCTATAGCATCCATATCATGTGTCGTGTTTGCATGCATTGCCGGAGGCTTCGAACGCTTCCGTGTTGTTGGCGTAGAGTGTTTCTGGTGTCTTGCTATGGTGCTCTTACTGTAGGTCATGGCCTGTGATAGTTTTGCCTTTTGCTGTGTTTTTGTGTGTACCGTATGCCCTAGAATCTGTATTGTATGTCCTAAACTCCCGACCTTCAAACCCTAAACCCCCAGCCAACCCTGTATTTACCATCCTGAACCCCTACCCCTTCGACGAAACAGAAAATCATGCAACCCAAGTCCCGATAGCCTTGGTTCAGGCTTCGGGGCTTTTGAGCTTAGTGACCGTGCAGGGGCCCAAGCCCTAAACCCTAGATCCTAAACCGTTTAGGGCTGAGGCGTACATAAGGCGCGTTTAAGGGCCCAGCTCGATCTGAACTTTATAGGCCCTCTGCCTTGAAGGGCTTCCCTTAGAGGGATCTAGAAGGGTTCTATAAGGGGCTTCGGGAAAGAGTAGTGGGTTCCCAAAAAGCCGCAAGAGGAGTTCACAGTCAGTGCGAAGATGAACATCCTCCACTATGTGGCGAAGGTGGGGAGCTAAGACCATAAGTTTAGCTGGTCCTTCAGGGTGCACGACTGAGTTTTTGCGTTTCTTGTCCCCCAAACCGCAAACCCCAATTCCTAGAGCTCAAAACCTATAAAGTAAGCCAAGACCGCGACAGAAATGTTTTGACACAGAAATGTTTTGACATGTGGGGTAGCTAAACCAGAAGCCTGCAGCCGAAACCCACAAAGCCATAATTCAGGTGTGTGATTACATGGGGCATCCGTTTAGGATACCAGATCCCTAAGCCTCATCAAGTGCCAAGTGCCATCTTGACGTCGTATGAGAACCCCCTAGAGGATGGCCTTAAATTCCAAACGATGGAGCCCGAAAGTTTGGGGCTTAGGGTTTGGGGCCTGAACCCTAAATCGCTCTATCATCTCTCTCCTGCCTTTAGTCGCTTATATTCTAGTCGGCTGGTGTTTGCAACTATATTTCCGATTTTCAGTGCAGCAGTTATCGCGAGCAAGAATAAAACTTGCAGTTTCTGAAGCGTCTCCGAGAACAGCCCTTTGTTGCCCTGAAAGAGTGCCCTGATGTCGAACAGCTCCCCATGGGTAGTTCTTGAAATT